TCCGATTGCAGTGTGCATGTCCTTGAGTGAATGCAACATGTCCATGCGGTCTAATGTAAAGTGAACCCGAGTGCTTGTCATGACTGCATGTGCACTGTTTGTGTTTCCCGAAAAGCCTAAAACCAAAGAAAGAGAGTGTGAGAGAATGAGAGGAATTTTTGAGTGAGTTTTTCGACTGAAATATTTTGTTTCTCGAAACCAAAGAATGTTCGAGTTTCCGGGCTCGAATGAGATCTTATCGAAAATGTTTTCTTCGATCCTTTCCTCGTCGAATGTCGAGTGATTGCAAGTGTTGTGCAAGGGACTGTCTGAGACAATGCCTTGTGAAGTGAGATCAATGTGTTTCCCGGAATGTTTCCTCTGATTGATTCCTTAGTGCGACTGCAGATTGCTCTGATTGCCTGTGCGATTGCTTCTTTGCCTGACTGCAGCAATGGCAGCATCCCCGACCTTGTCGACTGTTCCCGAGCTCCGGTACGAGGAGATGACTGGAGAAGAGTTGGCACAGGAAGTGGCCAACCTGAGTGGAATGACTGTCGAAGAGGTGAAGAGTGATGGAGTGCAAACCTCACTGGTTGCACTGCACCTGTCTGCAGGAATCCCGGACAACCGGGAAGATTTGATCAGACTGGCAACTGGCGAGTCATTTGTTCGCCCGACTGCCTTTACGAGAGTGCACCCCGATCCGAATGCAGCCGGAGTGCTTGTGGTGGAAGTCCCACTGGGCACGAATGCAGATGAGGTAATGGTCGCTGAAGTCACAAATGGACCTCAGCAGATTGACGCAGCACTGGGGATCAGGACTGGCCCGAATGAGGCCACCGCCTCGGCAGCTGTTCCTGCCGCGAATGCTGCGAATGCCTCGGAGACTGCAACTGCCTCGATTGGGAGATCGTGGACGGCTCCCCCGATTGACTCGACGCACCTGATGAGCGAGAAAGTGTGGGACCACACACTGTCAAGGAATGGCAAAGTGAATCGGGAAGTGTGTCACGCACTGAACCTGATGAATCTCGGCACAGATTTGAAGAAGATTTGGAGACGACTGGATGACTATGTCACTGTCGACAACCGAGATGTGAAGGACAAGATCGAGAATGATGCGTGCGAAATGGCCAACAGAATGATGGAGGCACAGGTCAGACTGGCCGAAGCTGTTTACAAGAGAGAGTGGAGTGAGGAATGCCCCATTATCTCCCTCCACCTGCCTGGTACAAGAAGTGGAGGACTGTCGGGATGCCGATTTGAGCACCCTGATGAACACAGCAATGGCCCGATGTCGAGCCTGAGACTGAGAATGAATTCTCTCGGAATCAGGACGAATGTCTCCAACAATGTCAACCAGTGTATGCTGGAGACTGGCTGGTTCGCAATGACCAAGGCGGAGAGAATGTTCCTCACCAAGGGAACCTGGGAGATCAAATGGCACATGGACCAGAATGACTATGACAACCTGGTCCAGGATTTGGTCCCACGTCTACGACTGGATCCTACTGCCATCGAGCATTGGCCAGCACTACTTTGAGACTGGCGAGATTGATCTGAGCAGGTTTCCCTGCCACCAGTTGAATGGCAGTTTCTGTGCACTGACGGCAATGAGGAAGACTGTTCAATGGTTCTGCCAGGGAGTGTTCGACGAGAATGCCCCGTATGAAAGATTGGTCTTCTTGGCGCGCCGGAGATCGACTGCCGAAGCCGCCAGAGAGTGGACTGGCGTTACCACTGGTGCAAAGAAAATGAAACTGGCGAATTATTTTAATCGCCAATTCACTGGTCACATCAGTACCCAGAATGGCGTCCATGTGGAGAATGAGGAGAAGAATGTTCCAAGCCGATGGACCTGGACTGTCCCGAGTGATGCGTCCAGAATGAGCATGGGCATCATCCGAATGACAATGGACGATCCAATGAGCTATGCCCAGAGTGGCCACCAGCTCCTCTGTCTATCTGAAATGATGGACTGGAATCGACTGGCCACCCTTCCGCACAGTGGCCTGACCGAATGGCGACTGATGGGACACATCATGGTTCCGACTGTTCAAGCCTATGGCCTATGGCTCAGGATTGGAGCATGATTGTTCCACCTGGGACGAAATGTATGGAGAGGATGATGGCGAAGACCCGAATGTTTGGAATGCCCCGGCCTCTTCCTCGACTGCGGCACCGAAGAAGACTGCGGGAACAACATCGCAGGGATCCTCGGCGACTGTCCTCGCACAGGTCGCGAATGCTTTGAGCCCTGGAGCGGAAGTTGTTCTCCGCATGAATGCGAATGCCAAGGCCGTCAAGAAGTGAATGGCAATGAGTGCAGCCATGTAAATTAAGGAGTGCCATGTCAACTGCCGCACGTTTGTTTTGTGAATGCAGGATCTTTGTTG